GGCTGAGGGAACTGGGGTTGTTTAGCCTGGAGAAGAGGAGGCTGAGGGGAGACCTTTTCGCTCTCTACAACTACGTGAAAGGAGGTTGTAGTGAGGTGGGGGTCAGTTTCTTCTCCCAAGTAACAAGTGATAGGACGAGAGGAAATGGCCTCAAGTTGTGCCAGGGGAGGTTTAAATTGGACGTTAGGAAAAATTTCTTCACCAAAAGGGTTGTAAAGCACTGGAACAGGCTGGCTGGGGAAGTGGTTGAGTCACCATCCCTAGAGGTATTTAGACGATGTGGTGCTTAATGACACGGTTTAGTGGTGGACTTGGAAGTATTAGGTTAATGGTAGGATTTGATCTTAAAGGTCCTTTCCAACCTAAATAGTTCTATGATTCTATTTTAGTTTTCCTACCTGGAGTCAAAATATACATATGGAAAGTCAGGTAGACGCAGTCAGTCAGTCCTAAATGCTGTAATTCAGTCATGGACCAGGGCACTTTGTATGGAATAGCTCACACCAAACTTGGCAATACATTGTGCTGCGTGTCTAAAACATAGCCAGCTCCTCTTTATCTGTAGTTGCAGGTACATCTTATTCAACCTCTGCAAACCCAAAGTGAAGTATGTCAATATTACCTAGTTTAAGCCTTTCTCTTGCAATTTCCCACTTGCTGGCATCATAAGGCAGACGTTCACATTGCTCGTCTAAGGGGACTTCGTCAGGATCCATTATGATTGACAAATAGTGGTTGGTCTTCATTTCAGAGGAATAAGGCTAGAAAACAAAGAATATTGCAAAATTAAATAGAGGATAAGGGTATCCGTCAGCATCTTCTTGTTTGGATCAAGGGCCCCAAGTTAATTTGTCCACAGAGCTGCATGTTTCACAGCCCAATAGATGGTTTGGTTAAGTGCTCTTTGGTTTTTTTATATATTGCAAGACTTTTTATGTAAAAGAAACTCCTTCCTCTAGCTCTCCTCCTATGTGACATATCAGTTTCTTCAATGAAATCCATGTGGATCTGTATTAACATATGGTGTTATGATACAGGCCCTCTGCACAGTCAAGAGAAATATTTTCAGTAAATGACTAAATATTGCTGATAAAAATAACTTTCCTTCATGATTGTGCAAAGCAAGAAGTGATCATATGCAACAGATGGAGTTCAACTGCCAGTGTTTATTTTTTCCATATACCCAGCAAAGATAGGTCATATGCGGTTAGAAGTTGTGCAAGACTAGTCGTCAGGAGACTAGACATTATACATTTCAGAGACTGTTGACAAATTTTCTTTTTATTTCTTTGGTATAATTTTGACAAATTTACTGAAATTATTTGAGTTTGGAGGAATTCATAAACACCCAGACTCAAACACGTAATATCGAACACATTGTTTCAAATTAATTTGCCAGAAGTTCAGTTTCTACTGAGCAAATGGATTATCCACTTCACATGAGAAGCATAAGGGAAGATGAACCTAATCTCAAAGTTTGCTGCAGTCCCCCCATTTTGAAATGTATTTTCCTTCAAAGACCACCCAGATTGCCATTCTAGCCCACTGGACTTTTCTTGACACAGGAGAACTTACATTTCTGCAGAAAAGGCCTAGTGTTTGTTCTAATTTCCTGGCTATTACTTGGAATTTACGGAAAATCTGTTGAACTAACCCTTTTTGTGTTGCTTTTCTTAAACTCATGCAAACAGCACTGAGGCACAGACACAAACCCACAAGTATATCTACATATTCTGGTTTTGTTGCTCTAACTGCCTCCTGTGACTTTCAACTTTCTTCCTCTACAGCTTTGAAATATGTCCCCAATACATAAGTTTCCAAGCATTTGGTTGAGAAGGGTATTACTACCTGTGTATGCCTTGGTTATACACATAACTAGACTGAAATGACAGTAGCTAATAACTAAACTAAACTAAACTAAACCTCCTGTTTTAGTTGCCTTTCACCATCCCAAACAATCAGAAAGTTAGTCCCAAAAAGGATTGCACTGATGCTTAGGGAAAAGTCAGGTGGCATAAAGCCTGACTCCAAACCATCCACTGACCCTGGACAGGACATGGATAAGCAGGCCGTGGATAGAAACAGGAGCATGTGTAGTGCTCCAGAAAGTGCATTTCTTGACAGATGTTACCAGACTGCTTCTACCAGCCACTTTAGAAGAGCTTTTACTTTTAAGTGGACCCATCCCAGAAAAAGCAACAGGGGAATGGGAAGGTGCAGAGATGTTCGTACGGTTCTTCATTTAAATGTACTGCATATCAAATCTTTGGTGCAATCAGAGATTTGAAACAGCATTTTGAATGATGAAGGATTGTTGAGGATATCATTTAGCCCTGCACGAGTAACAGACGGGCTGTAAGAAAATGCTCTCAGAGAGCATGTAAGTATTTTTTTTCTGTTGTGGCAATGTAATTTGTATATGAAATTTAATTTAGAGCTAATTCCAGACGTGAATCCTTGAGAGTAAAGGTTGGTAATAGAAACACAGAGAATACCATAAACATAAACCAGCACTAGCTGGAAAGGCTCATCTGGAAAGGAGCCTTCACACGTCATCTGATTAAAGTTCCTTGTTCTACAGCAATGATTATTATTTTTATTATCTTTTAACAATCTAACAAGTAAATGTCAAGTTTTGGTATCATAACAAATTAAAAAAAAAAAATCTGCACCCCTTTGCTACTTTTAAAACTTACGTTTTTTCCAAGGATTTGCAGTCATGTTATGAATTGCTTCATCATTACTGAAGAGCAATTAGAACTGGTCCCACTTGCTTTGTAATTTCTCTCATAGCTACAAAGTTTCTTCACAGCTTCAGCTGACCTCTACCTTTCTTTCCCCCCAAACTCCTGTGCATTTCTCCTTAAGAAAGTTTGTGGCAGTAGGAAGGCAGGCAGAGTGACTGCTACCATACCACCCTGGTTTGGAGGGTCCTGCTTGCCCATCGGTCAATAGAAGTACTCCGTGTAAAACCTAAGACACAGGCAGGCCTTAATGCAGGTTGAGATAAAATGGTCTGGTGGGCTGCAGTCAACTTTTAGCAATCACCATGGAGCTCAGCCAGCTGGAACATGATCAGCCGTGGTGGCTGTGAGCTGATCCCTGTGGCACCGTGCTGTGGTCCCTCCTGGGCTGGGTGAAGGAGGGCAGCTAGGGCTCAGCGCTGCTGCGGTGAGCAGTGGGGGAGACAGGGACATGCAGCCATTCCTCATCTCATGTCCTGTAGTGCACTCCGTCGCCGCAATACCTTGCTTCCCTCAAATCCATCTACTCCTGCAAGTTGCTCTGAGATCTTTCTGCACTACTGAGGAATCGTATTTTCTGCTTGTAAGAGATGCTGTGTTTTATCCTGCAGGCACCACGCAGTGCAGGCGTGGTGCTGTTAGCAAAAATGGGCCTTTAAACCATCACGGTCAGTGTTGGACAACAAGGAGGGTCAGCTGCAGGGGCAGTTAACATTATCATGCTGATACAGGACCATCTGCTCTAGAGGCTGCACTACCAAAACTACTTCAGTAAAATATCACTTTGGAAGTGATGTAATTATACCAGACACTGTGTGCAAACCAGACCTCAGCACACTCTGTGAAGATCTGTCATTCCCACTGACTCAGATCTTCAAAGATGTCAAGATGCCAAACACTCACAGCTTTTAAGGGAATGGGAATGCCTTTGGTGGGAGTCAGGCACCCAAATGCTTGAGAGTCTCAAAGCTTTGCGCCCGTCCAGGCTTTGTTTCCTGGCTTACTCATACTCAGCCTTGCCAGTCATGGTTCCCTGGCCATCCATCAGCAGCCTCGTGGTTGCATAGGGAACAAAGGTGAGCAGTAAGTTAAGTCACCATGAGCTCCCTGTCCATTCTTACCCTCTTCAGCTTGCGAATGAAGAGGGTCAACAGAAGCCAAAAGAGTGTCGCAGCCACGCAGGTACAGGTCAGAGTTATTAGCTCCAGGTTTGACCTCTCCGATGTGCCTGGGAAAATCAAGAGGCAAATATTTTAGAAAATTACCTGCAAAGCAAAGGCACTTTATGTTTCTTTGCCATTAAAATAAAATACCAGGAAGGACCAGCTTCTTTTCAATGGGGTATTAATCTGTTTGGACTGGCTTGGAGAGCCTGGAAAAAAAATCATCTCCGCAGCAAAGCTGTTGCATGGAACACAGCAAAACTACATTCAATCCATCCATAAGTTTTCAGCAAAAAAGTCAGCTCTTCTTTGGGGTGCAGGAGGGCAAGTAAACCAGATAGAGGATGGCCAGTCAGATAATAATTTCCTTTTGAGGTGGAAATTCAGCTGCAGGGTATTTTTAGCCACATTTTGTGTGTGTGAGAATGCGTGTGGGCCTGCGCATGCAGCTTCACCCTTCCCCCCCCGCAAGCGAAACCCATCTGGCCAAGCCCACATCCGAGAGAGGGGCAGAGGTCCCGAAAACACTCACTCTCCAGCAGCCTCAGGAGGGGACAGGGCTGCACAAAGCAGACGGCTCTGCTAGCCCTTCCTAGGGGCAATGCCGTGATGCAAGAGCTGCGGCTAACATGCAGGAGAAGCTCTGGGGAGGGCCTGTGTTGGCGTAGACACCAGTGAATGCAGGTGTGACCCGGGGTATGCTGCAGTGCTGCGGCTTGTGTTTTGCTGTCCAGGACATTTGGTGCCTTTCCTTGGGCACTGCACCCACTCTGCCCCAGCTCAGTGAGTTCTTCTGTGCTGATGGCTGAGCCCTGAAGCCACACCTCCATCCCAGCCATGCTGGAAACCCACCAGCCCTCACCAAAGACCTTGCTGGGGAAGAGCTGGGGGCTCCCATGGAGACTTGTGGTGCAGCCAGCAGGAGTCCATGAGCTCTTCTTACCATGGCCTGGGTGGATCTGGTCTGGCACCTGTAAGCTCAGCTCACGCAAAGCATGGCATGGGGATCTTGAGCCCCATCCCCACTGGGCAGAACCCTCGGGCGTAGGACCTAGCACTTCCTCCAATCCGCTGGTCCCCCAGCAGGCTCTGTGCCCTCAGGTCTCCTGCTGATTACAACAGCAGCACAGGGCCAGGATCCCTGAGGGGACATGGGACCCTCTCCTTCCCCAGCAGCACCTCGCAGAACCCAGATGTCAGGGAGCTGGAAGAGCTCTCCAAACCAGGGAAGAAATTAAGCACAGAGAGGGAAAAACAAAAACAACGACTGAAAACACAGCAGCAAGAAAACATGAACACTAGAAATCTGGAGAGTATTAGAACCCACTGAGAGATCTTAAAAAAAAGCCAAAATAAAATTCACTTCAGACTGCTATTCAGGGACCCGTAAAATGGTTTCAGAGCAGTCTGTGATCATGTCAAAATACCACACTTCCCACAGTATGTTTTCCATCTGATTAGTAGCAAATGCAAAAAATTCCTCATGTTTTGCCTTTTATTCTGATACACCCTCCAGAGAGAGGAAATGAGAGGACAAGGAGGAGTAATTCTGAACATGATTTCACAGTAGTTTTGTCAACTACACTTGCAGCAGTTTCAGACCCCAGGCAGCTCGATGTTATTCCTGACACATGAAAAAGGGATGATTGATGTCTCGCTGGTGGGCTTACTGGGTAATCCAGAGGAATGTGCTGCCTGGTTTTAGGCATGGCTACAGAGCTTTATTAAGAGGTTGAATTGCTTTCTGTAACTGTAGCTTAGCTAGCATAATACCTTCCCTCTCTAAAGGTGATAATCAGATTTGTGTTTCTGCCCTATATCTAAGATTCCTCTGGCATGTCTATTCTGGAGCTTTGAGAATAAAGCTCACTGAAGACAAATAAGACTGCGACTGCAAATGGAGATATAAAGTATCTATTTCTCCAAAATACCAGGAGTGTTAATTTTTCACGAGTATTTTTTTAGGGGCTTGATTTAGATAAGGGACATAGTGATGGCATAAATGATACAGCCTAATGCAGCTTGCCAGTCCTCTGGCATCAGGCTTTCCTTTCACATATGAGTAGTCTCCTCTTGCTTCTGAGCTACACCCATGCAGATGAGTAATAGTTTCTGACACTTATTCAGCAAAACCTGGAGGGGCTGAAGTTTCATTTGTTGCCACTGCTCCGTATGGCAGGACTCAGAAAATCCATGAGACACGGTACAGCCGGTTCTGGGGTGGAAGGTAGCAACTCCCTAACCACTACTGTATGCTGCCCAGGAGTTAGCGAAGAGATGCAAAGGTGCTGTCTTTGAAATGTCCAAGTGAATTTAGGCAGCCAGAAAGCATTTCTCCAGGCTGGGGTTGGGCTGAGTTATCAAATGCCAGATTCCTAATCTTGCTAAAAGCCTTGCAGACAGAGCTGGCTGAGTGCCTCTCAGCTGGGTAGGAAAAGGTTTGATTTGAGGCAGAACAGGACGAACACTCAGAAGAGGGATTAGGATTAGCAGAGCTTGGAGACACTGTAAGCAGGACTACATGCCTCTCTCTGCCCGTTAGCCCAAGGTTTCTGGCTCCTTCTTACACCTCTCGTTAGACACAGACTTTCCCTCATGTGCAGCTCTGCCACATCCGCCTGACTCACTGCGGTAAGCGGTAGCCCCCTTCCTGCCCCAGAGCACCTCTGAAAGACCCCTGCACTGTCCCATGTCACTGCAGTGCTGCGGAGTGGCAAGGAGGGGGCGAGTGAAGAAGTGCCACTGACAGCAACTTCTGTCTCTCAGTGGTGACAGGAGCCACCAGGACCTTGCAGGCATGCAGGGACAAGAGCCTGGACTAACACACTGACCCCTCCAGACACCAGCTCAAGCTTTGGGCTGTCATGGGCTTTGTCATTAGGATTTCAGCTCTAAACATTGAGGTGCAGCTCTGTGACAGGTGTCAATCAGGGAAAAAGCAATGCCTGGGGCACCAACACCACCCTGCTGCACCCAAAGCATCCTTCACTCCTACACCAATGTGATCTACCCTGCTTAATCCATGTGATCCCATGATCATGGCAGTGCAGCACTGGGATGGGTGCTCAGAGATGCTGAGGAATTTCCATTCTTGGAGTTTTTCACAACCTGGTAAGACAAAGACATCACTGACTGGATGTAGTGTTGTTGATGATCCTGGTTTGAGCTGAGGTTTATCTAGAGACTTCCAGGACACTCTTCCAACCCCCTTTGATGGTCCTCTGAGGTAACAAGAGTCTAAGTGTCCCCTAATGTTCACCTTTTCTCTTACAGTCATCCACATAACTCAGGCCAAACCTCATTCAGTAGCCGATGGAATTCCAGTTAAACATCATGGAAACATTCCTGATGACTTCTGAGTCAGCATGACCCAAAAGGCACAACAACTTTCTGAGAAACAAAGTCAGAAAGATAGATAGATAGAAAAACAGACAGTTATTTAAAAAGCAAACACCATTTTCATAGTGTTGGAATAGTTCAGCGAATGCTTAATACATGTGATGCTTTCGTTTCATCAACAAGTATCACATTAAGTTGTTAAGCATCCCTTTTAAGACAGGGAATGTTGCTGTAATCGTTTGCTTGTTATACATCTGGATTTCAGAGATCATGAGCTGTAAAATATGCTCCTTCCTTTGTCAACATATCGCCTTCTAATGGCACAACACCTCTGCAACTAGCTGTATCGCTGGCTCCCACTGAGAGTGGGTGCGAGGGTCCCCAGGGGGAGAGGCACAGCAAGGCTTTCATCGCAAGTCATCCACTCTGTGTACAGGTTGACCCACCAAAGGAGAGCTGTCCAAGACAGCCTGTGCTCCCTGTGCCCAGCAGCTTGTGTCTCCAGGCTTTTAGGGACACATTCCTGTCTGCCTGCTGGGCGCTCCTGCAGCCGTTTGTGTTCCTGTTCCATCCTTGCAGATTCGCTGCCTCTTCAGTTCCTCAGCCAAGAGCAAGCAGACAGCTTGCTCTGACATGTCCACAAACGCAGCCCCTCTCCTCCTCAGACAGCCCAGCAAGCCCGGCTTCCAAACCAAACATGGGCTGAGATTATTTAAAGACATCCCTTTGATTCCACCATCCATTCATCCATCTCGGATACAAAAATAACACATAGTTTTATCTGTGAGTATAAGAATGTCTTTTCAGAGGAAATAAAGAGAGCAGACAGTTTCCTTCCTGACTCATTCACGAACTACTCTTCCAATCTGCTAAACACAGCCATCGACACAAGGCATTGCTCCACTCCCTTTGATCTGCAGCCCTGCGCTCCAAGAGCCACTGGGACGGAGGGAAGGCTTTGGTGCTCATAGCAGCAATCACAGGATCTGTATTTCTCAAAAAGACAAGCAAGTGGCGAAGACTAGAGAGAGCCCCATGTTTAAGCCCTGATCTCGTCCCTCTATGCTCAGGGATGGGGTGAGAGGCTGCTGTTCCATGGGAGAGGGACAGACACTCCAGATCAGCATGGAAATGAATGAAAAAACCCCTCCAGTGATGTCCCTTCATGTAGTAGGAAAAGCAAGGCGGGAAAGGCATTTTCCTTGATCATAGTAGATAAGACAAACTCTCCGTCTTTTTGTCATCCAGTCTCAAAGCTATAAATTTTAATGTGGTAGTGTTCATCTCCTGCTTGTTTAAGAGCTCCCATAGGAGTCACACAAGATCACTGCCAGTGGTCCCTCAGGACTTTTAACAAGAGAAGAAACCTTCCTGGCTGCTCTTTTTTCTCTCCTCTGGATCACGACTAGGAGATATGACTTCCTAGAAGCCATCTGACAGAATGCTTGTGGTTGTAATAAACAGCCAAGCCACAACGATATTAAAAATTAATACAATAATGAATTATATTGTCCAGGACTATCAATTAGTAGGATGCATTGGACACCACACACTTAGGCACAAGTTTTTCTTTTAGCTCTTATAGCAGCCATAAAAGCCTTAGCATTATTCATGAGGAAACAGGTGTTTTTAACTCCTTGATTACACCGGTTAGGCCAGCCCACATATGCATATACTTATGCCTGACCTTCTAAAGCAAAATCATCATTGTACCATCAACGATCACCATTAACTGAGACTGCCAACATACTCATGGCAGAAAATCAATACTGATTTACTAGCTGTAATTGTCTTCTGCTGTAGGGTAGTATCCAAATACTCAGCAGTACTCAGATACACTTAGCACTTGCATGAGAACATCCGTAAAGACATTATCCCTGCCTGAGAGACCTGGTGGTAGTCAAATCCTTCTATAAAGAGAAACAAAATATATTTAGGACTGTTTACTTAACACATGAGATCAATAAGATAGGTTATGTTAAATTCAATTCATAATTCAATTCATACATGGCACACTGACTTATATGGAGAATGTCAACCTACTCCTCTTATAATATATGAACCAAAAGGATATTCAATGAAACTGAAAAGCCACTGAATAAACTTTATTCTATGCAATGTAAAATTACTTGATAGAAGTCACTGCCACAGGCCTGAGTCAAGAGTGGCAGAAGGCAGAACAATGCTGGACACTTAAACAAATAGCAAAATAACTCAAGTAATAGTTACAGAAATAACTAGATCATACGTACTTCTTACAACAAGTGCCTTTGAAAAATGCATATGTAGTTATTGCTAGGCTAAAATCTTCTAGTCTGGCTTGGCAGTTCACTTTACATTGAAAATAAACAAATGAAAATATCCCAGGCCTCTAATTTCTATGGAATTAACCTGAAACGGGAAAACGAGTGGGTAGGAGAGTGTTCCCTATTCTGTTTTCTGTTTGTTTTGACAATACTAAATTTACATTTGTCTTCTACCCTGACCTGATCTTTGTTGGGTTGAAGCAATTCTTCTTTTTAGGTCAGTGTAAACACGCTCTGAGTTAGCATTTCCTGCTAGGCTTCCTTTCCAACCTGGTATGCTTCCCTTGCTAGGACTTCCTTCAAATTGCTGCCTTCAGAGATCACCACATGAGCCCCAAGCCATTCCCTTGCCCTTCCAGCCTGAGTAGGAACATCACCCTGGCAAGCTTGCTCTTCCCATTTAATGTTGTGCTTTACCTTGTACCGTGACATATGCTGCACTCTCCACGGACCCTTTTAAGTTGGTGGCTATACATTGATAAAGGCCTTCATCCTCCTCTTTTACTCTTTCAATAAACAGCATTCGGCTTCCGGGCCCTAGAATTATTCCTGTGAAATGAAATATTTTGCAATGAGAGGGAGCCAGGATATAAACAAAAACAGGCCCTTGTGTAATAATATCTGCTTCAAGTTCTTCTCAAAAGAAATCTGAGCCACAGACTGCACAGCATAATGTTATCTACAGGAAAGCCAAATATACTCGGATGTTTTGGGAATCTTTTGGAAATCAGTGTTTACACACTGTGTGAGTGAAAAGGCTCAGTGTAAGGCAATGATCTTGGGAGCACTTGGTACTGTGCATATTGATCAGCACTGTGCCTAGACTTTCATCCAGGTGAGATCTTCAGCATGTCTCCAGCTTTTGGAAAATATGTGGTCTGACTACTGCGCTTACAAGCGTAGGTCTCCCAGAAGCAGCTCTAGCTTAGAGCACTTCCAAGACCCAGCTCCATGCATCCACACTGGCCTTATGGGCAGCAGACTTGCTCCAAATCTCACTCGCCCGTGTGACATGGAACGATGAGCCCCTTTGCAGAAGGGCCCAGATAGTGCAGAGAGGTCCCATGAGGTGTACCCTAAAACATAGTAGTTACCCAAAGTTTTCAACATCTTAGTTATTCCATCAAGGTCAACCCAGAAGCCAGCCTGCGCAATACTCCAGCAAGCAAGGAAAAGGCAGGGAGCAGATTTGGCCTCAGGACTGCCTTTAAGGCACCACATAGCCAGGAAATGTGCAGTCAAGTATGCACTTGTGTATTTGGCTCCATCAGAACTAACGTCCCATCAAAATGTATTCCCACCATCTATTTCAGGCACCTAACTAAAGTGCTCTGACCTACCCTCTAGAGGCATCTTCCTGGCTCCTAACTTTATGTGTTGCATTACACCCAATTTAGACACATAACATTCATTTCAGAAGATAGTGTTAATAATGCACATTACAACGATGTGGTCACCATAAAGCTTCATGGAATCTGGCTCTAGATTAAGCTGAGCGCCTGGGCTGCAAGTCTGCAAGGGCTTATAACTCACTTGGAGAAATCCTCAGGGTTTTTCCCAGTTGCCTTTATTCATGCAATAATTATTTCCAATAACGCAGGACAAAACCGTAAATGCAATCTTTCTAAAATGTTGTTATTGAAGATTACACTTAGGATTCAAATTCCTACAGACCAAACCTCCTTGAACATTTTTGCTGAGCCTGTAACACTAGCTCATTGCATGCTTCTGATCCATATGTAGATGAATTCCTGTGAGAAAAGTTTTGCCTTTTCCCCCATCATTCACCTCCACCTGAAGTCTCCAAGGAACACTTCCATGACTGTGGTGCCAGTGGAGCGAGACATGTAGCCTTAGCTGATCTTCAAAGCTACGTTCCAGACACAGCACTAAACATCTCCCAAAGTTTTTCTGTGGCTGTGTCATGCCACCTGGGAAGCCGTTCCTTTCTGCTGTGTGAGACCTGGATTCCTTTCCTGCCAGCAGAGGTGTTTCAGTTTTGGACACGCCAGGTATGGATTTAGTCTGGTGGCTAGGTTGTGAATCAAGAACAGACTTTGCATGCCTGACCACAGAGTCCCACTGGTACTCCTATGCATATCATAAAAGCTTGGTTCTCTCCTGCCTAGCATACACTGGCCAAGACACCTGATCCTTAGGCTCTCGCTATAGTAAATGGAGAGAAATATGTTTCTCTAGAGATGACTCTTCCAAGATGCAAATTGAGAGCTACATTTTTTCCACTGACTCCATAGAGATCCGTTGTGTCTACATCTCCAGCCTGGCTGAGGTTTTGGAGTGAGACAGACTAATGAAAAGCACCCATGCTGCTGTCTGCCTGCCTGAAATGCCTGGGAACAGTCCTTCCTTATGTCTGAGTACCGATGCCAATGACTTTGCAAATGGCTACCTAAGGCAGATGGGTAAACAAAAAAGCTGTAAAAGGTAGGTGAATACACAGAGCTCTCACCTGACTCTTGCTGTATTTCCTCGTGATTTTTAAACCAGGATATCTGGGGTTCAGGGATGCCACGAACCTGGCACTCCAACATGGCAGAGTTACTGGTGTTCACTGTCTGATCCATAAGGTGCCGCAGCAGGGCTGGTGCCTCTTGAGCTACAAGACAAAACAACACCTCCGTTTTACATTCTTGTAACTGTGGGAGTTTAATTATCTTCCCTACCAGCATTTTACTGATGTTAGAAATTGCTATGGCTGTTCTACCAAGTTCATTGTTCACACATTTTATTTACTGTTCCAGTTTGCTTAAGAGTACTTGGTGTGTACAGTGTACTCCCGTTACTCAGTGAGAGCAGGTCATGATGACAAACTAAGACCCAATGATGACATTGTTTAAAAGATCTCCTCAGTTCCATTACCAATCATATTTGTTTATCGAAAGCAGTAAGTTTCTATGAAAGCTCAGAGTTTTGCATCATCAAGAGAAACAAGCCGTGACTCCAAAGTTTTTAACAGTTAGCAGCCATGACACCAAAGTTTTTAACAGTTAGCAGGACACCCTTGTAGCAGAATATCTCTGCATCATTGATAGCACCATGCAGCTCCATACACCACGATACTAATGAATGTGACTTTTATCATTTACTTACTTACAAGAGTACAGTGACAAATCATATTCAGTAAACTCACATCATCTAAAACCAGAAACCATAAGCACAAAAGCATTGTGTTACATGTCCCAAAGTCTTCATAAATTCTTCCACTTTGCGTTTCGCATATTTGGCTGAACACAATGAAGTCTGTCCAAACCACACCACGGCCTGCCTGCCAAAACTGCATTGGTGAGAAATGCGCCCATGTCCTCTGGCATCCCACAGACGCTGGAAACCCTGATGGCAGGGGCCGAAGCTGAGTGCTAGCAGGCCACACAGCATAGCAACACTGCTCCTGTTCTACTTTCATCTACTGACATTTGTACAAACGAAATGTAATAAAACACATTTCCATGACAGTCAGTGACGATGAGTAGTGGAAGCACACCTCATCTGTTCTGCTTCTGCTCAAGGGCCTCCCAGAAGGGCATTTCAAAAACACTCTATAAACATCATGTTAAAGTCATCCCTGAAAGAAGCAAAATGAAGAAACTTTCTCATCATCATTTCAACCCTTTACCACTCCTTCCCCCATTTTGTTCAGAGCTGAAGGCTGCTCTGACAAAGATCAAGATATTTGCAACACTGTGATTCTGTGATTATATGGCAACAGCCTTCTGTCACATTTGCAACTCTCACATCATCCTTTTTGGTGTTCTGGTTCCTTTAAAGTAGTGATGGAGAAACCAGGGAGCTCCTGAGCAATCTCACAGATGCAGATGCTCCACAGATTCCCTCAAATTCCCTGGTCTTTCAAGAACCGATTATTTGCAGTCTTTCCCTTCCAGGACACTGCCAGGATCAGCAGTTACTAACATGGTAAGACACACATTACAAAATAAGAAACAAAACAAAACAAAGCAGAAACCAACTATTTGCAAATAGTTTCTTTTAGACTGCAACAAATACTGATACACCCAGTTCAAGTATAATATCAGCTGAATTTCTGACATTCTGTGTTTGAAACATTATTTTCTATCCTTTCAGAAAAACTATCAGACATTTCCATCTTCACAATCATTCTGTTACCAGCTGTAAATAAAAACTCTCCAGAAAAATTAAGCACCTATGTACAACTTAGGCAGTGTGCATGAACCCTCATAGTACTAAAAGCACTTTTAAAGTAGGCTATCTTTGCTATGCTCTTACCCTTTGAAATTACTTCCAGCAGTTATGACTGTGCAATGACCAGTTTGGGCTTTTCTGAGCTGCAAGTCTGTAATTTCCACAGGCAATGCTATTTTTTGTTTAGAGTGTAGCAGACAATTTGTCCTCTCTTTCCAAACAGTAATGCTCATGAGAGAGGCTGTAAAGCAAATTCTTCATCACATACCTACATAATGACATGGTCACCAATACTCGCCTTGCAGCTAAGAAGACTGCCCACTTCTCATTGATACGTTGCCTCGATTCTTGCACAGTTCTCATTTTTCACAACACTACCTGTGAACAGGCACCATCTGATGCATGCCCACATACGCACGCAGGGAAGACCTCCACAGTTCACATTCACCAGCAGTCCCTGATGGACACCCCAGCCCAGACATCCAAAATGAAGGTGGACAAGATGACACGACAAAGGCAAATCACACATTCTGTGAGTTATTTGTGATTAATTTTAATTTGTTTATAGCCATACACTAAAGATGGGTTTTCATATTAAGAAAAACTTTTTTTGCTTAAAACTTAAGTCACCATTCACATACTTTCAATAATTTCTCTGCTGTAATCCGCTGATTTTTCAAGGACTTGGTCAACCTGAGGATTATTCTCTTTTGCAAACCACCAGTTTTCTCCTGTTCATTTTTGCAGTGAAGCCAAGGGGGGCAGGTTCCAACACCCTACTCCGCTCACCCTGAAGTCGAGGTGCTGCCCTGGCTGCCAGCATGCACAGTGCAGGGCTCGGCACCCAGGGCAGCACCCCAGGCCCATCCCCAGCCCTTGTCCTTGCCCACAAACACTGCCTTGACTGGCCAAACTCTGTTCTCAGTTGCCAAGAGGAACTTCATTGTAGGCAGAGTTTGGCCCAGGGGAGTGACAGGAGGGTCACGGAGGGGAGAAGGTGACACTGGTGTCAGAATACTCAGCTGACCTGGAGCTGTAAGGAGGAAAAATTTGCACTTCCAAAAGCAAACAACAGCAAACAAGGGGAAAACATTAATATTTTTTTCATTTCGGGGTTTACTTTTGCATTCCGTCCATTTTTGCCCTTTGTTATGATTATGTTGTCTGTTCACTTATTTTTATTAATCAGTACAAAAATATAAATACAAGCTTTAATTTTAACACTTAAAAAAAAAGAAATATAATAATTCACATCCTTCTCCCTAAATAATATATTACATAACAGAAGGCAGAGAAACTCCTCAAACCAATGAGATTCTCCAGTCATCTGAGGACATCAAAAGTGACATCAGTAGTTTTTATCTGGCCACCAAGAACTGCTTTCCTCAAACGTTTCCAGTGAGGTTTCTCTGTGCCTCCCAACACAGGCAGCCACATCAGGATGTGACAGCATCCTTGCACAGTGTGGCCCTCCGAGACACTGGTCAAGACCAGGCTGGTAGGACGTCCACCCAGCAGGGATATACATCATTGCAATTCACAACAATTTCACAGAGGAACAGTCTAATCACCACATCTCTTTTTTTTTTTTTGACCCAACTCATATCGCCTGGCAACTGGCTGCTACAAGTCCTCGCACTGTGGCTCCCAAAGCCATGGAAAATTCATAATGTCCCGTCATCACAGCCCACCTTGCCATCAAATGTCTTCTCACAATATAGCCTCGTAAAAAAGGGGATTCTGTATTGTAATTCTTCTGAAGACTTGCAAATGCTAAAGAGTGCACTTGCCCCATTTTTAAGCAGTCACCAATGGTTTTGGTTGCTTTTTAGGGATGTTTTAGAAAAAAAGAGAGCCAGATCCCTTTGCAAGAGCACATTGTTTCTGGAAGCCATCACACTAATAATGAACAAAAGAGCTACTGTATACAAGCAGGCTATAGGTGACATTTCAAGATATAAATGATTATTCTTTTCTTTACTCTGACAACTTCCAGGTTGTCAATTGTTTTCTAAGCATTTTAGGCTCCATGAAACTGGCATTATGGGGAAATGCTATTGTTTACCCTTTCACACTTGACAAAAGCAATTCCCACGTGAAAGACAAGTTTAGCCGTGGGACACAGTCTCGATACCTAAAGGAGGAAATAGTCTGGTGAGTTCCCAAGCGCAAGAAACTGTCATGTTGTCACCCTCTATTTTAAAAGCACAGCCACTTTGTTCCTTTGCTGTAACTATTTTGGTCACTACGATCTGTTTTGTTATGGCTTATGTAAATGCTATATAAATGATCAATCATAAATGTAACCAAAAATAATAAAGCTATGTATTGTAAAAAAATAAAGTTATCAGATCTATTAAAAATAGTAACTTCTTCCTTATACAGAATTTATAATACACAGAAACATCTCATAGCAAAATCATGACGAAGGAAAAAAAAGGGGAAACGCTCACAAGGAAGTCTTAGGTTGCCCTTAATTCTCCTTCAGCAGTTCAGCTGGTTCTTAATCCCCATAATAAATCCAATTGTCATTTGCATACCAAAAGCAATGAATATTTTTAATGGCTTCAATTTTGAATTTGCATTTTAAAAAATGTATTAAACAACTCACTGTGCTGGCTGCAACCTTGTCAGTCGTGTTAGTGTAATATTTCTCATTTAATAAAATAATTACAACATTACAAATTTCTGAATCTTCAGGCCAGAAGCAATACTCACACTTTCATCAGTAGCTTTTTACATTAGTGCAGAACTGACTTTAAAAATTGACCAACACAGCAACTGGAAGTCTACCTGGATTTATTTGGAGAAACATGGTTCACGTCTGTCAGTTTTAAAATCATCATTATTATAAATGATATGATAGGTCTGTGCATTATATCAACATTTTTATTTCTTCCCTGCATACTTCTTTTAGAAGATACTTTTTAAGATTAATGTACTTTAGTGTAGAAAATAATTTCAAATAAATAAGCATTAGAACTTGCTCAGCAGGTAATATTTATAAGTCCATCAAGATCAGATTAAAATAAAAAATATATAGTCCAGTCAATCTCGAACTGAATTGTGCTCATTCCGCACATTCAAGTTAACTTATTAAATGTCCATTGTTGACTGAAAACAGCAGTTTTTAAAGTTAATCAGTTTATTCAGCTTTGACACTTTTGATGAGGCCGATATCAAAGTGGAAGAAAAGATTGATCCAAAGTTTTCCTTATCGCTCAGTAGGAGACAGCAAGAGAAAAAATGACAACATGCAAAACGTAGCACAGGGGATCTTCCAAACCCCAGCTTCCATGTGCCTTGTCAAAGCAGAAAACACCCGTCTGAACTCAACTGGAAGCTCACGTGTTACGATTTTGTTTGCTATTCCTCCTACGTCCAACCCATGGGGGAATGTGCACCACCTCAGGGCCTGAAAGGTAGCAACAGTAATAAAAAATCAAGATGATATGAGACACCTGTTACTGTTTAATGAGTCCTTTAATGTTTTACATTGCTTTGTGTTGTACAATCATTCCTTGTGCTCTTATATTTGAGGATCCGAGAGTAAACAGCCTTTTTGTTGCAGTGCTCACCTCTGATTGTAACGTCTTTCTTTTGAAGCACTTCTTTCCCCGTGTATATGTTCCTTGCTCGGCAGGCATAGGTGCCTGAGTGTGCCAGGGAAACGTTCTTGATGGTCAGAGTGAGGGTGATGGAATAATCCTTGTTGGGAGACCTTTTTTCTTTTGTTTGATTGTTGACTGTCCTCGGTAAAATCCAAGCAATGTCTTTGTACAGGAATTTGTTGGCCGAACAGGACAATATCAAATTCTCTCCTTCAATGGGCATTTTTTCCAAACTAATATGGAATCCATTTGGTACATCTGTCAAAAATCAAGAACACTCTTTAGTTTATATGAAATGGATGAGCCAAAATTAACTTGGCATATATTTTCCCCTTTATCAGGAAGCCTTTGAACTAATCAATGTCGTTGTCTTCCTCCTGAAGTCTCTAATCTTCCCTTTTGTACGCTAGGCTCCAGCTATTCTTATAATTTGTCTTGGAGCTATGAGACACTTGGGCTCAGACATCAGTTGTTGTAAACTGAAGTCGCTCTTGGAAGTAATGAGTTTGTATAAATGTCATGCCAAGTTAAGACAGACTGGGGCAACGTACCAAAAGCAGAATTATTTAAAGGCAGCACAGTGGGACTATGCAAAATAAGGAAGATTCGGATCTCAGCTCCAGCTTGTGAACTGCATGAGAGAAAATGAATCTCAAGAGGAGAGTAGAAAAATACTATGGTTCATCATGCTTGGTTATATTGTTTCTTGTTATTCATAAGTATTCAGACAAATTATGCCTATTTCTTAAAAATGCTTCAAATCATGAGAAATTACTGAATCTGTGATTACACGCCTGAAATTTCCCTTAAAACAGAGATATTTGCTCTCCATGCATTTAAAGTGTGTCAGCCACCCGAGAGGAAAGAAGAAACAGTACCCTCCAGCCTGGGCGGCCAGCTGTGTGTGGGCAGCACTAGGATGAAGATCACTCTGTTTAGGCTGCTTGGCATTAAATATAGGTGAAGAATATTTCCACCTGAGAGAAATCAAGGATCATTACACTAATCATTTACTAAGTGTAAATACAACTTAAGTTTTCACAAGGATGTTTTCATAGCAGATAGGCAGGAATAATTTAGCCAACAATGTAAAAAGTCATACTTGAAAACCTCAAGTTTACAGTTCATTGTAATGTTACTGCAGCTTCCTCCTCCCAGGGAGCAGTGCAGACCCGTGGCAGTGCTGACTGCCCCCTGGCTGGCTCCACCTGGGGCTTATCCCTCCAGCAAGGGAGAGTTATGCCACTGACCTCAGTGAAAGTAGAAGCAAGTTCCTGAGAGAAAGCACTTCCAAGTTTTACTCCTAGAGTGCAAACTCTCTTGGTTTATTTGTAGCCAATATTCTGATAAAGTAATTTCCTTCTTCTTGGTCAAGTGACATTGACTTTGGCCATTTTCAATTGTTCTTTCACTGCTAATTGCTACGGCACTTGGCTGTGAACTTGACTCAAAATCGTAAGAACGGTTTTGTCTTTCATAAGGGAGAATTATGCCTTCTTTTCTTAGAGCATGAGCCGCTCAATGCCGACTTTCATTCAGTTCCATGCTTATCAATGTCACTTTGGGTTTAGCGTCACATCAGCAGGGACATGTAAAGAGTAGATCTCCAGTTGGTAATATTGCACATCTTTCAGTCACCTCTTTCATTGACTGACCAATCCATCAGAAAGCTTCTGCCTAAATCCCCGCAATGCAAACTGAGCTGCCTTGTCTCGCCAGCGGGACCATGAACATGACGTGGTCACTGCTGCCTTTCAAAGTTCTGCCTGTTGAAAGTCTGGCATCAGTTGCTCCCTTTAATATCCTCTTTTCCACGCTTAGCCCTGGGTGTTAAACACAGGGTAAATGAGCTCCTGCACATCTTGGACTGAAATTTCCTCTGACTGTAGACGCCTGAGAGGCCTGATTTCTGCTGGTTGAACTCATAGTGCCCTTGCAGTGGGAGCAAAGTGTGGGCCTGTAGTTTGGGTGTGTAGTCCAAAGATCAACCTAACACAGGCAGCGACACTAACATATTAGATTGGATATTAGAGCCTGTGTGTTGACTTGTTCCTCTTAATCGGGATCCCCTTTCTTCCTCTCTCCAGCACACAAAACTGTAAGAAAAAACTTTAGTTTTAGTGAACTCATCTATGTGTAACTATTACCAGCAGCCTTTTTGATATATAAGAGCACAGGGTGCCAGATTCTGATCTCAGTTAAGAATACATCGACTGGAAGTGCTACTAAGATGAAACCTTTCCTTACATGGCGTACAGCACGTTTAGCCTAAGCCACCAAAATGTAGACATCTACTTCAATACAGTTGTTTTGTGTATGGGCAAGAGTTTACAGCCCACGGAGTGGCACAGGCACCTCCAGAGGGCAATGCAACCCATCACCTTAAGATGAGTCAAATTCCAGAGATCCTGATCCCTCATGCTTAATTATGAAGGGATCCTATATGACCAGCTTAGGCTCAGACACCTAAATTTAAGGCTTAAGTTAGAGAAAGTGAATCCTATGCTTGATTTTGTTAAAAAGCATTTAATTCAGTCACACTTAAAACCAATCAAGGGTCTAAAGTTTTGATCAATAAGTCTTTGGATGAAAGAAATTGCTGTGTCTTACTCACGGTAAATCTCAGATTGTTCTGATACGTGTTGGGAAAGCCAGGGCACATGTCTGATACACTGCTACTTCTTGGCTTTCACAGATGCCAGTACTCAGTAAAAGCTAGGAAGAGCCAAGCAAAACTCTTAAGATGAAACTAAAGATCCCCTGGGACTGAGGCAAATGAACTATTTTTAACGTAAAAGGATAGCGTGCCAGCAGAATAATATAGTTGCAACTACTTCCATGTTGTCAGGTCTGGATCTCTTCCTAGATGTGTCTTCTGTGTAGAAAGACTATTTTCTGGATAAATCCAGGGACAAAGGCAAAATGGACAGGATTCCAAGAGAATCATTTGTTTAAAGGCTACGAGCCCCCTAATATATGACACCTCTCACCAATTGTTACAGGCTCCAGCTAGCTAAATAACGTGGCTGAGAATAATGTAAAAGGGTTTTATTTACTTTAGTGATTTGAAGCTTCCTGTGGAAATAGCTCCCAGGTTTCCTGATGGAAGATTTTGTTTATCTTTGCCAAGCACCATCAGGAATCTCAAAATAAAATGCGCTTAGTGACATTGGGAAATCAGGGAGATAAGGCAGAGCTGTTCCTGTTTCACCCTCTGTAATTGCAAACACACCCATGGGCCTGCTGTGTGCCAGCAAAACAACCCAAAATGTAGTGAAAGGGGCAGGCTGGAGGGAAGGGGGCTACCATAGTTAAATTTGGCACAAAGGTGTTGTTAGAGAGACTGTTTCTGTATCAGCAAGCAGGAGAGCTTTCAGAAATCATCTTTCTACATCACTCACAGCTACTTTTGTGCCCTGAACAAAGATTTGCTTTTAGAAACGTCAGTGTGACAATACCCCAAAAATGCCCTACATCTGATAGAGGTCGTAGGAAAAGAAAGCTACTCCAGAGCCCATGGACTTAATGTTCTATACCCTCAGGTACAGTGTATAAAGTTATACCACTCTCAAACTTCCCAGAAACAACTACGCAAGTTCCACTTCAGGCTCAGAAATAATAAGATTGACAATAAATTAAGAAAGGGCTTGTTCTTAGCGGATCCTCTCTTCTATACCTCCTTGCACTTATTTTCTCACATCTACCTTTCCCTGAAGGGGTGGAACATGCCACCACCAAACTAGGGTTGCTGAGACAAGCTCTGCCTTCCCACCACCTTCCCAACTGTTTCTGCCTATAGGAAAGAGTCTCCTCACACCATCACAGCTGCTTCACTGGAGCATGTGCATTTTCTCATGCCCAGGACAAGGGCTGAAGGAGATTGCCTTCAGGGAAAGGGATTCTTCCTGTTCAGGGCAGGCTTTCTCTCCGTCTGCTCTTTGGAGCCCTTTCTGGCTTGTCCCTTTTACAGAGGGCAGCAACTTCTCTTCCTACAAGGGATCACCTCCTATTTAGACACTTATAGGCACTTTTGTGTGGTTCAGGCTAGCTTCATATGGTGCCAGCAGACTCAACAACACAAGATAAACTATTCCCAAGCTGTTAGGCAAGACCTGAGGTATTGGTTTCGGACCCATCAAAAAGAAATACTTTGCAGTGTCCATCCATCAGCATTTAGGGCTTTCATTTTTTTATTCTCTCAATGTGTTTTTCAGCAAATGCTGAACGCGTTTATTTCATTGACGTGAAACACAGGCTGTTACCCAGCCACAGCAGTTTGGTCTCAGCCTAACAGTGGAGAATTATAATTACATCACGCAAGCCCAACTGATACACTACGTGCGCAAAACAGAAGAATGACCCTAACTTGATTTTTGTAAGGACAAAACAGCAGTATTATTTACACTGCCTTCAATCAGTGCAACTGAGCATCAGCAGATGATCGGGACTTTCCATGTCACACAATTGAAGTATTCAGCTCCAGGAACTCAAAGGACAAACGCATTTCAACTTCACCACCCTATATAGAAAGTTTGCTACCAGTCGAGATATTAAGAATTTCCAAGCCATAATAAAGCTGCCACTCCTCTTTCTGAACACCAGCCAATACAAGAGTCTTCAAAGGAAAGTCACAATATTCTGCATTTTCTCATGCAAGCTTTGGTATCAAGGAGGAGGATTTCCTTCTATCCCTGGTCAAGATCTAAGAATGTGAGAACTAAGTAGGGAAACTAACTCTTTCATATGATCGCATTAAAATATCTGAAAGCAACATCAAAACTTTGAAAGGGAGATTTGGATACAGCAAATGGGGCCCATCAAAATACAGATTCGTTTGGTTTCAGGATCTTTCACGCTGCATTTTGAAGACTGAGGAGTAAGAGCTAGAGAAGGCCAAATTCAGCATCTTGCACATTAAAAGAGCAACAGCCTCAGTGAGTGACTCTCAGTGGCTGCTCAAAGTTACATGTGAAGTCCCCGCATAAAGATCAGAACACAGCGCCATTGGCACATTTATTTATGGAGAACTATGTGTCATTGTTTAGCTTTCTGTCCAAACAGACACAATGCAAGGACAGGGATGAAAGCAAAACTGTGATTTGGGAGTGGGGACAGCAGCCGTCTTCAAGGTGGCAAATATTCTTGTTACATCCATTAATAGAACATGGAGATATTCTTCTTGTTTCTGTATTTTAACAAACAACCTGCCTATGCGTCACTTATCTGTTTATACTTCTCATGCTTGTTACCAAATTACTATATTTACAGATAATTGGCATTTTCTAAATGTGGAAGTGTATTATGATATGAAGCCTTAACAGCTATATACACCCACGAGCAAGGTCTGCAAGGAGAAACTACCAGCAGCACACAGTGGATACTGCAAAAAGAAATGGCAAGTGCTCATAGTGGGTGACTTTCTGTTAAGCGATACTGAAGTGCCCATCTGCCAGCCTGACAGGCGATTACAAGACATATGCTGCCTTCTGAGAGCTAAGATCCAAGATATTGCTGAGAGGGTGCCACTGTCAAGAGCACTGACCATCCATTGCTACTCTTTCATGTGGGCATGAATGATACTGCAAGCTGGAACCTGGGCAGAATCAAGGAAGACTACAAAGTACTGGGGGTGCAAGAGAAAAGTATTGGTGCCCAAGAAGGAAAATATTGTCCTGCTGTTAAACAGAAGAGGTGAATTAGTCACCAACAATACTGAAAAGGTAGAGGTTTTCAAAACTTTCTTCACCTCTGTCTTTACCAGTACTGTTGGGCCCCAGGCCTTGGGAACAAAAATCGAGGTTGATGCAAACATCAGTGAAGGAAGAGTTGCTATGTGAACTAGTACAGGAACATGACCACTACAAATTGATGGGCCCTGACTTAACACCTGAGGGTGTTAAGAGAGCTGGCTGATGCCATTGTAAGGCTGCTCTCTATAATCTTTGAGAAGCCATGGAGATTGGGAGACATCCTAAAAGACTGGAAGAAGGCTAACGTCACCCCCATATACAAGAAGGGCTTAAAGGAGGATCCAGGAAATTATAGGCTCACCACTCTTACTTCAGTCCCTGGGAAAGTTATAGAATGAATCCTCCTGGGGGCTATCACAAGTGAAATGAAGCATGTGATTGGGAAAAGCCAGCATGGACTTCCCAAAGACAAATCATGCTTGATAAACCTGATCACCTGCTACGACAAAGTAACCTGCCCAGTTGATGTGGTATGAGCAGTGGACATTGTCTACCTGGATTTCTCCAAGGCTTTTGATATGGTTTCCCAAGCCTCCTCCTAGAGAAACTGATGCGTTATGGTCTAGACAAGTGGTCAGTGTGGTGGTGGGGAACTGGTGGACATGTCACACCCAGAGGGTGGTGGCAAATAGCTCCTTTTTAAACCAGCAACCTGTCACAAGTGGGGTCCTCACTATATAAAAAAAGATGTGGATAGGCTGGAAAGGGGCCAGAGAAGGGTCTCAAAGATAATCAAAGGACAGAGAAACCTGCCATATGAGAGAACTGGGTTTGTTCAGCCTTGACAAAAGAAGGCTTAGGGGAGACCTTATCACCATATTCCAGCATTTAAAAGGTAGTTACAAAAAAGATGGAGACTCCTTTTTACAAGGACTCACATGGAAAAGACAAGGGGTAATGGGTACAAGCTACTCCGGGGGAGATTCCAATTGGACATGAAAGGAAAATTTTTCACAGTAAGAACAATCAGCCATTGGAACAATCTCCTCAGGGAAGTGATGGATCCCCCAGCATTGGACACTTTTAAGATTCAGCTGGACATTTTGTCTAGATCGAGTTTCTGCCAAGAAAGGTTTGACCAGAGGATCCTTGAGGTCCCTTCCAACCTAGTATTCTATGATTCTGTGATTCTATTACAGATAGTCAGAATATTTTAAAAATATAAAATTTGGTCCACAAAATCAGGAGGGGGGGACATATTAAAAGTTTTTTTCCTTTTTTTTTTAATCAAATCTAGCGAGTATGTGTCTATTCTCTTTTTGTATCTCTCAATATAGTAACAGATTGAGTTTTACTAAATCACTCATCAGAATGATAACCAAGAGATTGACCAAAAAAACAGAAAAGAGAAAGCAAAAATTAAAAAGGATACATTAAAATTATTTTTCCCTTTCAGCTTCAAGATTGTAATTTTGGGATTAAAGTATCAGAATATTTTAAGTTTTTTGTCTTTTCTCATATTTCTGAATGAACTACGTTTCTTTAATGACCTACTCTGAAAGCTGTCATCAACCTAAGTGCTCTATGAACTACCACTTTGTAAACAAAACCAAAATAAAATCTTTCAAGAGAAAACGAATCCTTTGTAATGGCATGTGCAGACATTATGCTGCTAAATCATGCAGTAGTTATTCTCAAAAACTCATTGTAGTAATTCCTGACGTCAAACATTTAATAATTTTTTTCTGAATCTGAAAACATCTAAACACATCTAGTAATGGAAAAATAACTGGAAGCATACTCATACATGCAGCTAACACAGTGAGTCTTCTCAGTGCCATGGCCCAAATCATATCCAAGGTTGTCTTTCACAGAAGAGGGAACAAAACTCTGAAGTTTGTACCCTGCTGCTTTGTTACCCACAAGTTGCCATAGGCCCTGAGAGCTGTGAGGGGCTGCCCAAGTACCCCAGGCATCTCTCCTCTAGCACCACGTCGCCTGCAGATGCTGGCACTGCTCTAGACACTACATTGTGAGGCCTCCTGGTTGGCACCAGGGTGAGGCTGTAGACACCATCAATGTCACACATGAAACTGGCTTACTGGCATATGAAAATACAGTAAAATTTCACATATGGAATGACTGCAGAGACTAGGTGATTTAAAAGGAGGAATTACAGGTTGCTATATTTGTGAGTAACTTGTGCCATGCTGAATACTTGATGGAGGGATGAGTCATTCACCAAATTTGGGGTCCTTCCTAGAAATCCAGAGCAGCTGCTGTGAAAAACCCCTCCAGGATCACCCAAAAGCATGGTATGAGTTTACAGGTGCACACATTACAACAATTCTCAAACTGTGGTATACGAAAAAGCCACAACAGCCTAACAGTTATAATCCCAGGACCAGGAAACACATTTGGCTCTAGTGGGGACTAGATCTTACCTGTTACAATAAAGCTGGTGTTTCTTTCAGCTTTTCCCACTTTATTGGATGCCACACAGCTGTAGATTCCAGAAGATTTGGTTTCAGCTACAACAAGAGTGCTAGCAGTCTGCGAAAGAAAGAAGAGGTTTAGCTTTCGTTGGCTGAGGAACTTGGATAAAGCTTCCCTTCTCTTTTTTCTAAGTCACTGGTGGCGGTCCCATGATCCACTCTCTCCATACGTTCAGTGAAGGGCACCACTGGGGCTATTTAAAGGAGATGTCACCATACAGAGTTTTTGGAAAAATAACAGGAAACAAGTTCCTTGGGTAACCCTTATATTATCAGAACCATCATAACCGAAAATTTTTTAATGTCTTTCAGATTAATTTATCTCTTGCCGCTGATGTAATAATAAGCTACAAAACACGAAGCATGACACAATGTGGCTCACTTGAGGAGATAAACTGCCTGTAGGAGAGCCAGACTGCAAACAGAGTAAGTGAGGCATGCCTGAGGCAGTTGGATATAATGCTGGGAAAAAAGTATCTCCATTTGGCACTAAATGCATTTCATTTCTCCTTCATTTTCTCACTTATGTATCAGGTGCAAAAGGACAGGAACAAAAGAGATGTTTACTCATCCTCTTTTGGAATATTTCCTCTTCTTGGACTTAATATTTTTATTATTAAATAATAATACATCAGTTTTCGTTATGTTGCATTCTATCACAATCTTAAGAGTTTCAGCGCAATAAATATTTTCACAAAGTGATATGACTTGCAAGATGAGACCTTGGAAGGCCAAGGACCAACAGCACCTGATGTGCCTTTAGAAAAACAAAGCCCATCAGAATAATAAGCGTTATACCTTCACGGTGACGGAAAGTCATGGTCTACTGGCTTGGGCACTAAATGAAAGAAGAAAGTTATGCAGAAACAACTGAGATGTCATTCTGATATGGAGCTGAGACATGGGGCATGCACATAGAGCTCAGCAGTGGGACATGCTCTCAGACACAACCTGGTAGCTTAATTTTCTGTCTTTTTGTCGCTCTTTTATGTCTTCTGTAAAACATGCTTTGGCTAGTGTTACAGGCAGAGCTGGGACAGTGACGAAAGGAAATTGTGTGGCCGCAGAAACCCATTGTTTGGAATTATTTGGCTTTTCTAGAAACCTTCAAAATAATTTTTGTGCAACTAATACATTCTTTTAAGTCTGCCTGATTGCTGGAGTCCAGAGACAAGTGCAAGAGGGTGAGTCAGTAATAAATAAGGACCGGTTATCTATATTTCTACATAAACACGGGCTGAACATTTACACTGCTTCTGTGTCTCCTACCCAGAGGCTTCATGGCTATCCCCAAACTCCTTGTTGAACCCCTAAATAATATAGATCTTCCGGTTTCCCAGAACATTCTTTAGTAGGAAGAGTCTACTACTTTTCCTACTACTTGAGCAAGCACAATGGAGTCAAGCAATTTGATTCTGGCTTATTTGTTTTAGAAAACTGCTCTACAGCAAATTCAAGACTACAAGTGATGCTAACAGCACCTCTACCCTGTTAAGCTGTCTCAATGATCAGCTACCTGTCTGCGAAAAAACTACATCTTATTTCTAGCTAGATTTTTTCTAACCTACCTTTTTGGCTCTTCTGTGAGATGAAAGAGTAATACCAGACAGATAATTACAGCCCTTAAAAAACGTTACCTTGTTTTGCTAAATTCAGTAGGCCTCTACAAATTCCTAATTATAAAGCATGGGTCCAGCCCTGCTTATATTTTGTCATTCTCTTTGAATTCCTTCCAGTTTTTAAACATAATTTTGTAAAGCGTGGACACAGGGCCCAGCACCAGGACTCCTGCAGGCGTTTTATCTACACTACCTCAGAAGTGACAGAGATCCCATAACGTCATGCCAGAGGACTAACATGGGTGGTTAAACACTGCTTCTGCCATCCCAGACTTTCCACCACAAAATTAGCCTTTTTTGTGTTAGTTAGTACTACCTCATAGCAAATTTGACCAGGTAGGTACAGTGACCTAAAATGCACAGTGAAGGAGAATGAAGCTTTTACTCTCTGACTCCAGGATACCTGTCTTTATCCTACTATACGCAGAAACAGAGCATTTCTGAGTCTGAAAAATAAATGCCAATTATGCCTCCCGCAATTACTCCAATGGTTTAGGAAGGTTTTGGTAGTATCAAACTGCATTTTGTCCTGACAGTATCAGGTTTTTAATGAAAAATTGTGCATCCTATCTGAGTTTTACTGCCTCAGCCCACTATGATGTGGTTCTTACTTTTATTACACAGAGGATGGTGCAAGAGGTTACACTAAAGCAGCATGACTGCAGTTACTGACCTGAGTGCTTACAGATTATGCCTTTTCTTGCATATTAAATGACCCTAGAGAACATTCCTCAGCACTGAAATTCAGTGATTTTAAACTTTTTCTCAGCATTGTTTTGGTTTCGACCAACTTGCACTGCCCCAAATACTCCTCTAGCATAGGCCAAGGATCACTTCCAACATGCAACTTCCAAGCAACCAGCGTCTTTTGGAGGGCAAGGGAGATAAATGTTATGAACACAGGCTTTAGTGCCAGAGAGCAGTCATTGGTATGTTTACTTGACTAAGGCAGAGAAAGCCATAGTGTCTAGGAAAAAGCAAGACCGATTTTGCAACAGAACAGAATATTTTAGAGACAACATGTCTCTGCATAAATCTTTCAGCTTATAAGCTAGTCATAAGGATAAGATAACATCTCTTTAAATAGTTTGTGAGCCCTCCAGTGGTGCAGTCCGTGTTCTGCATTGTGGATGCCAGCCAAAACCCACCACAAAAGCGGTATGTACAAAACTAAGACTGGCATGTTGTTGTTTATTGAGCAATGACGGCTGTTTGAGATTAGTCTGTGCTGCATGAATCCTCAATACAGCTATTGGTGCAAAAGGAGCAAGAGAAAAAGTTCTAGCAGCCTTGTATCATCTGTCTTCACAACAAAGAGTTTCAGGTCCTGGACTTGCAATCACGTTATATACAGAAAGTCTGAATTCAGTTGCCATGATCAGCCAGAACAGGGCAAATCCTTCCTGGCATGCTCGGTGTCTTGAGCATCATGTGTCCACAAACCCTGTTTACCACCAAAGCTTTGATCCTATATTCCTCCTTTCTGCCTATCATCTCAGCTGAAGCACTATGCTGTAGGCTCATCTCAAAGCCAGGGGCTAGGGAAGTAGATCCCATACTGCTGCCGCTTCTGCTGGCAAATAAAAGACGCATAAAGAAGAAATCCTGAGAGATGGAAGAGGAATTTACAGATTTGTTCATAGTGGAAACTGATGAGGAAACTGGCGGGGGGTGGGGGAAGAGTGCAAAGCAACTGGTATGATCATTGTGCTGGGAGCCAGGGTGGGCTGATCTTTCCCATGGAAGGTCTGCTTGAGTTTCTCTTGTCTCAAAGTAGCTTAGATAAAGGATTCACTCTTCTCCAGCTGATGGCAGAGAAGCAAAAGGAGGTTTCAGAAAATGGCTGGCAGCTTGACTTGCCTGACTCCTAGAAGGCCTCTGCAGGCACTGGCATAAACACACTCCTTTCAGAGACTGCTGTCCTAACTTCTCAAAACAGCCCATACATTTAAAAAGAAAAATACTGGCCTTTCAACGTTGATCAGGTTCTTGTAAGCCTGCCAAATATTACTGAATCCCTCTTAGTTATGATTTTAAGAAGATGAATTTGTTTAAAAAAAAAAAAAAAGTAAATAAATTAAAATATGCTCTCTTTACCTCCTTGGATTTATCTTTGGCTAAAGGAATATTATTTAGGAAGTCCCATATTGAAATATTGGCAGCACACCATTGGATCGGTCTGCTTATGCCAAAGACATATTATCTGCACGCCTCACGTGTTGGCAAGGACCATCAGTGCAAAACATCTGGACAACACGCTTCACCTTCAGGACCACCACAGAAGAAACACCAAAATATCTTCAATAGCAGGACACGACTATGCTCAGGAGAGCACCCTCTTCCCTGCTGAGGTCAGAGAGGCAAATCACTGCTGTTTAGCAAGCAGGGTTGTGGTTACCCTCTGCATCCCGAGTTGTCCCGCTCAAACAGGCCATGAGACTAGAATACAGCCAGCTGACTTGCGAGGAGATCATTACAGACAGCTATGCCATGGGCACCCCCTGCCCTCCTCCCCAGGGCCATAGGTAGAGCGAGGCAGCACTTGATTCACGCCTCCCTCGCACACCAAGGGAGGGGATCAGTTTCAGGAGCTGGAGGAAGCCACAGCTCGGCAGAGGCAGGTGCCAAGTTCTGCTGGTTTTAATCTCACCAAGGGCTTGGCTCAGCTGGCACCTCCCAGCGATCTGCTTAAAAGTGTTGACAGCGATTCTAGTAGCACTCAGGAAGGCCCCAGGAGAAGTTACAAAGTGCTGAAAGAGAAGCAAGCTACACTCCCACTGCTATTTTTAGCCTGGCTTCCTAGGGAGATCACACTGTCTGTCTGTCCATCTGTCTGCCAGTATCCTCTCCTCCCCCATGCTCTCGGTCATTTTTGAACCCACTGCCCAATTTCAAACAAAATTGACAGACAACTCAAAGCTCGTGAGATCTCGTGCATTTCATGAAAACCAGCTGTTGGGTAGAGAAAGATCAAAATGAGTAGTGGTATAGCAGGCTAAACAGCTTTCTCTTCTGCTTTGGGTTCCAGATGGCAAATAAGCACAGACTTACTGGCCAGACAGCTGGTATGTGTAGGGACTGAGAACAGACACAACACATGGTTCCTTGTCTCATCAGTAATGAGGGGACATGGAAGTGAGATGGAGGTTTAGGGCTTGGCATAGAAGATGCAGGAGAGATTGACCCATCCTATTTTGCACATCCACGAAGAATTGACCCTTCTGACTATCTAGCACCTCACCTTTATGTTAGACGGTCGCAGTTTTTAATACTACGTGCAGCCAGCATGTGTCAGGTTGAACCATCATTGCCAGCCAAACCAGAGACGGACAAGGGCGAGCCTAGGTTTGGTCTTGCAGAATCTTGTTACAGGGCCATTACTTTCCATTTTCTCTGAAGTCGAGTGGCTTTCTCACAAGGGATGGGACCACTAAAAACTTGTGTCAGTGAAGCATTTAGGCAGTGGAAAACAAGGCCATACGTATATATATGCGTGTGTGTGTACATACACATATGAATGACAAACCACAACTTCATGCATTACTATTCCTTACACACAGTTTCTGGAAGCCTGCACCGTAACACAGACCCAGCTTTCATGGTACTTGTTATTGTCAGTGGGACCCTGGCATTTGCTAGCAGCAAAGGCATGGGGCAGTCAGGGACCTTCTGTTCTATTTCAGATTCTCAAGAATGTGGCTCTAGCAGGTTATTTCCCCCAAACAAGGGGGGTTTATCCCACTTCCTCCAGCTTTTCCCTATATTCAACTGCCCTCCTGTCTACTGTCTCCTTCCCTTGGATTTATCATCCTTTCCTCTTGGCCAGCATTTTCTACTCTTTCTCATCTGAAGTCACCTTCTTAGCACTCTTCTGATCATTCTCCATGCCCAGGATCTTTGTCCACCTCTCCTTCAGCTCTCTCTGTCCCTTGTACCCCTGTACAAGGGGTACTGACTCCTTTCAAAGCTGTTGATAAACCAGTGTGCACCAGTATACACAGGAGAGAACACATGCCTGATATGTATGCATTGATACCAATGAATACACCAGCACTTTGTACCTCATTATTGCAGGTCATTCACAGATTGACATTTTAATGAACACTGATCATGCTAAGAATAACAATAATCAGTATTAGTCCTGAGTTATACATAGCTTTGGCTGGGAACACTGAGAGGTGATGGTTTTTAGCAGCTGAACGGCAGGACAGTGTCTGTGATCTGTTTACATCATAAGCCTAAGAATAGCCCAACTTTGTAGGAAGTCACTGAAATGTCCAACAAAATGAGAATGAAAACTTTGGGTGGGGGAGTCAAATCACTTCAAGAGTTGTCTTATGATTAAGTATTACGACTTATGTTACAAAGTTCTTCCATTATACCACTTGAGTTTCTCAATGTCCGTTTAGAGAGGCTTCAACGGAAATGTTACTAAAACACTGTTGTTGTCACGGTTTCTCTGTCACCAAAAAAATAATGTAACACACGCTTCCTGCATTACTTTAACGATACAGACCCAGGGTTTGAGTTTTTTTTTAACTTTAAAAATATACTTGTGGCTACCTTGATAACCACAGACAAACAAACAACCAATCAACCTACCACAGTGAAAAGCCAAACTGGAGGGATTCAGATGTTGCACATACAGGAAATGGGTGGAACTGCCGTAATGTCTTTAAGCAAGGTGAAAAGAGCTACCTCGATTTCTATAAGAAACCTTTTGACCATTCCTTGTTCATCTCTTCCCTGGATTACAATAATCTCATCCTGTGGTCACCCCCATTTCTCCTTTCATGCTAACCCAAATGTGCAACTTTTTGAGTTTCTTCATCCATTTCCTACTGCTTTGTCTCCTACGTCTTTGTTGTTTCCATTGAGCTTTCAGATTTTTTTTTTTTACCATGCCTGCTATGCTTGGATGTGGAAGTGGGGTAGACACTCTGTTTAGATAGCAGGACTCCGTTGATGTGGAAGTGCCTCGGAGAGCTGTTCATAGCTGTTTGCAGTAGCAGAACTGCTCATAGTAGCAGTCCATCAGAGCCAGACACTTGTGATGACATGCTGCATTCAGTGAGCTCAGTGCTATTAACAGTCTTACAATATCACACAGCAGATGAGGAAGGGTTTTGTCTGAGCTGTGCCCCTTTGAGTTTGCTCTGGGAGACCAAGAATGACTCTTGGACTGCAGAGTGAAAAGCTATAGACTCCCACAGAAAAAAAAAAAATCCTCGATGCTCTAGAGCAGCTGTGTGTGCACAAATCATGCAACTAATAGCTTGGCCAGAACCCAGGCTTAGAGAGCATTTTCTACTTACAATAGGAACCCAGCTGTGCTTGAAAAGCTACAGAAGAGCAGCAGAAATGAAGAAATCTTAGAAAAGCTGTGAAAAAGCTGAGCAAAGAGATTGTTTCACTAACCTCCTCTTCCCCATAGGGACCAGGAGGAATAAAGCAATGCAAGGTAGACCTTTCTTAGTTGAACTAAACAGTATGAAGACAAGGAATACCAAGGAGAACCACTATGTTTCACTGCAAAAATTTCCACCTAACACATGCAGAAACTATTCCTTGGTTCATTTCTGGGCACATTTTTACAAAAGGGCTGCTTGCCAAAGACTTCAAACAAAACCTGTAGTTCTGCTGCTAGGACCCATTATTAGTATCTTCCTCCAGGGAGGAATTTATTTGCTATTGACTGGAAGTTGCTTTGACATTTCAGCCACTCCTCTTCCACTATCGCCAAAACTCATGTCACACAAGGAGAACGAGATCTGGTTGTTAGACAGCTCTTTCTGCACCCTTTGAGCAGGTAGGACTTCACCCATAACATGGCTAGATGTCTTATGGAAAATAACCGGTTCTTATCATCTTTTGTTCATCATTCCTTCTTCGAAAGAGACTGTGTCTTCCTGTGCCTGAAATGATTTCCCTTTCCTCCTTCAAATCCCTTCTTAGGTCTCATTTTTCATGTGCTTTCCTACAATAGACTCCCCTAGGAATCTGTTTGCTCCCATCTTTGCCTTGATCTTTAAGCACATAGAGGTGGCCAGTTAAATAGAGCAAATGTTTCACTGGGATCCAGCCTGTTCCCATGTGCTGGAATGGTGCCACGAACACCTGTGGTACTTTCTAAATAATACAACAGCAGGAGAAAATGCAGTCCCAGGCCTGATTCTTGGCTGCACGCAAAGCTCTGTTTATTCTGCGGTCTCTGAAAGTGCCCTAACATGGGAATAACTACAGTTTACACCCATTTTCATAAGCAGAAGATTGAAGGCAGCCATCAAGGAAAGGAGACCTATATCCCCAGTGCCCTTAGACTTACAAAAAGCATTTCAGTGTCCTTAGAAACGACAGGCCTAGGACAAGGTCGGCTTTAACATTTATAAACTCTTCAGCCATTACTGCCACAAACCAAACTAGCGTGTGAAACCAGATGCTGTGACAGTGTCATGGCATTGTGCATCTTCACCTGAGCTCCTCCATAGCACAGGCTACCCAACTACACCAAATCAGTCTCATGTCTAACCCAGGGAAGTGCAGCTGATCTAGGGCATCCTTAGTAAAACATTTTGATTTGAAGGTTTTAACTGATGGACAATCCTCCATGGCCCTTGGCAAGTTTATCTCATGGGCTTTCTCTCCCACATCAAACACCAACAGACTACAGGCCTACTCACCCTTCACAAGTGCCTGCATCTCCCCATGGCCCATAAAGGGATGCTTGACTTGGACTAGATCCTTAACACTTAGATGGTTAATGCTGCTGGGATGAATCCTGCCATGCTGCCTCTGACTGAGATATTTCTTAAACTTTGCTTCTGTAATCTGGATTCATTTGGCCCTTTATATTTTGTATGGCAAGAAAAGACCTGGTCATCTAATAATCTAGGACTGTATCTGTGAACAAACTCTCTAATGAGAGCAAATTGTTTAATTCTCATAGGAAAAACAACAGGAAACTATGCAATGTCAGAAAATGAGGCAAAGATGGCCTGGAACCCTGCCCTTGTGCTCCTGAGGTGCCCCAGGATACTACAGACTAGCTCTGAGAGAGTAGATATGGTGAATCCCATTGATATACTCTTGTCATGTCACCTACCTTAATGACTACATACAGGAATAAGTACATCTCTGCATCTCAGCAGATAAATACCAAGTATGAAAGTTATTTGCATGTATGCAGTTCTTCAAATCTAAACAATAAAAAAATTATTGGCTTCTTCGCTGTTGCCTTGATAACATCTTACAGTGCCTTTTGAACACAGGCTGCCACACAGAAAGGTTATCTGCTCTGAGGAATCATACCTTATTTTTGCCCTCTATTACAGCCATTCGCTCAGTGATGCTCTGGATCCTGTTTCCTATGTTGCTCCCAGATTTCAGGATGAAAGATCCTTCGGTGTAAGAGCAAAAGCCATGCCTGAAGACAATAAAAATTGAAATTTTATTGATTTGATGATAGACTGAATCATTCATCACATAAGACAAAAAAATTCTTCTGGAAATGGTGATCAATGAGGGAAACTGCAGATGCTGTGATGACCAGGCAAGTATAGTTACTTTTCATTAAATCTTGACGTTCAGAGCCTGATGATTGGATCCACTTCCACAGCCTTTCCTTGAACATTAGCTCTCTGGAGTCAGCGTTAACATTTAGCCCACTGTGGACTGGGAGGTCAGAATTTACAGTCTGACCCTAGTTATAGGGCAGTGCAAGACCAGCATCCCATTTCCAATGCTCCTGTTTTCAGCCATTGTCATGGTTCAGGCTTGGCTTCAAATATGAGTTCATATTATTTTCAGCCTTAAATTCAAGACAAGTCATATTTGTTTCAAGACCCATTCAATAATGTATTGGATGCTGTTTCGCTATGCACAGGTTGTGTTTGTTATCATGAAAAATGATGCAATTTCTCATATCTGAATGTTTTCTTTATTTCAGTTTACAAAATGGCAAAATATCAGTACTGGGGTTCAATAATTACAAGACACAGTAAAAATAACTATAATCCTGCAAATTGGCAAAACAAAGTTAAACAAAACTATACCTAATTGCCAAAGGGATTTAAATGTTCATTTAATCTGAAAAGAAACCAAAGCCATGTTAATGAATGGAAATCTCAGGGAAAACATGTTTTTGCCTTATGCAACAAATTGGCTTCTAATCAGAACATTCAGGTGTGGTCATGGTAGAGCTAATTTGTTTCCCAAAGCCTAATTTGGTACACATGGAAATAAACACATTGGAATGCTTCTTAAATGCTGTCTGTCCCTATTCTTCTTCGAGGATATCTAGTTTTGCTTTTCATCCAAAATTTAGTTGTTGCTCATTCAATTCCAGCTTCATCAACAGAGCTTAACCCTTCAGCAGGGTCAAGCTCTTTCAAATACTATATGGTCCTTTGATCTTCCATGGATTTGAAAGATAACGACTGTAGTATCTGTAATCAAATAGTTCTGACATGTATATCAGTTGTCTGGAAATGACCTTTAAAGCCCAGTGGCTGGATAACAGCGTGTGATGCAATACTGACCAAAGAATGAGGTTCATTTCCCTTCAGCTAACTATGCAGTTTGCTTAAACTTTGTTTTGTTTATAAAATCAATGGTACACTAACTTTACATGCTTGTTTTTAATTGTGCAGCTTTGCGTCAAACTCGCCAGTGTCTTAGCAGATATTACAGCTTAAAGAAATGATGATATGTAAACTAACTTGGGCTGTAATCATTAGCACAGATATATGATTGTATGCCCAAAATTTCTTAGCGTGCATTGAGAGGTTCAGTGAGCTGAAAAAGCCAAAAAAACAGGAGCAGGCCATGGTCATTCATGCATGGAGAGAGGACAGGGACCAATAGCATGGCAAGAAAGCCCTATCTACACAAGCATTTATTCCAGACTCTGATTTAAAAGCCAACTTCTAATACATGATTGTTGAGGCCAGGGTGGATTAAAGACAGTTGCATTAAGACAATTGATGCATTCAGATGGGAAAAAACGTTTAAAAATTAATCAGAAAGGTAGATGCCATTTTCTTTGCACATTCAATACTTTAAGAAGTCTGGTTCTAGAACACAGAAGACATGATAATGTCGGTGCTGATAACATGTCCATGCCATAACAGATATCAGAACTTATTTCATGACGCCAGTACCGTAGGCACACAAACAGGCAGTATCAAAGGCACATCCTTGTGACTGGATACTTGGGCAATCTCTGTACAGGAAGACAAAGACCCAAAAATCTCTTTTCACCCATACTAAAAAGTAATTTAAATTATCTTTTTCCTTGCCCCACAGAATGAATTTATATTTGTTTGTTACAATGCTGAACATTTGTGCACTTTACAATAAAAGTCCTTACAGAGACATGTATTTTGATAAAGGACAGAAAGAAAGTATAATGCATATTCAGAAACTGCTTGCGCATCTCTGAAAGGCATCTCCAATCTCCTTTCTTGCAGCTCTGAGGCCTCCAGGCTTAGTTATTATAGGCTTAGTTATTATTATACTCTTCCTCATAATTCCTTGAAAAAGACTGCACATATTTATATTGTAATGTCTTAGGGATGAGGACAGTGTTATGTCTTTGTTGATGCTTAGCACAATGAGGTGCTGATTACTCATTAATACCATAATACAAACCACCATCATAATTACAATAACATCACAATAACAAGAAAAACACATGTAAAAACATTAGATGAAAGATTAGCCCTGGAGTCACATATGTGAATTCTACTGACTTCACATACCATACCATCTCCAAACTGCCGATCACAATGTTAATGCAATCATAGTAGAAAATCGAATACACTTAATAGCTGTTGTCCATGGTTTTAATAAAAAAAGAGTCACAATCAAGCTGAGAATACATTATCCAACCACCCACAGTACTCAGCGGGAGATGTGAGTACTGTCATATGTGCCACTTTGGCTCCATGGTCTGCTGGATCAGCAAACGTCTACAACTCAGTTGCTGCACGGCTGCCAGGCAAAGTCTAGGACAAGTCTCAGACTCATCCCTTTGGATGCAGAACCAGATACTTTCTCTCCTCAGCTGCCAAATGCTCTCGCTTTAACCTCAAGTACACTAACACAGCTTAGGGACAGCACACAAGCCACCTCCAGTCTCCTGAGCTGGTTACTCAGGTCAGTACTCAGCCATCCTGCCTCTTGCTGCTGCCAGCGGTACCACATGAAGCCACTTTTTAAGCCAGCACCATCAGGTAATGCTGGGGAAGGAACAAACGGGAGTAATTAAGGGTCCTGCCTCCTAACCTGACTTCAGCTTCTAATAGCAGGCATTTTGTAGCACAAAGAGAAAAAGCTCCGCTGAACTTAGATGTAGTCATCAAACCAAATGTTTGTGTTAAGTACAGATGCTTGGAAAGAAAGAGAGAAAAATGAAAATATAAAAATTTACTCTGGCTGGGACCAAAATACGCAATCATCTTCCTTTTAATTCAATTGATGTTTCGTTGCGTGTGTCCTCAGATAACATCATCTACATATTTTTCTGCTTTGTAAAGAAATTACAAGTTACTTCAAACTATCTGCTCAGTAAAATAGCAAGGATATTCTATTTGTAGCAAGAACTGCCTGTGTTTGCAGGGAAATCCCACTGAATTTTGGATATCTGAATCTTACTCTAAATATCTCCAGAGCACATGAATTCCTGAAATGTTTTGTTGTGGGATGAGCCTCATTGCTTTGCATCTTCAGGAAAGCTTACAGCAGGGTTACCATCAGGTTAATGAAAAAGCACACAGTGTGCACAGAGATTGATAAACAACCTGATTATCTGCCAGCACATTTCTAAGCAGTTCTTAGACCTGTGTCCCTGCAGATCCTTTCATGTCCCTACTTTGTGGGTGCAACTTTGCACATGTAGAGATCCTATATAACAAATGCTAAGGGGGTGTGTGTACAAATGTATGTTTAGGAACACTATGCAGCCTCAGCGCAAAGTAATCAGACTCTGCTGTCTTAGTCAAGCACTGGGAGAAGCAAAGTAACCGGGTTTCTCACCCCCTAAGTAGTTTTTTCCATGTGCCTGCGTGCGTGCTCGCGTGCGTGTTTGCCTGTGTGCACGCACACACCCCCCCGCACGCACAGGCACGCTTTGTCCTTTGTGTCAAGAGCCTGAAAAACAGGCTATTCCTCTGTAGGAACAGAAGCTGTTAATTTTCCTGTGGGTTTCAAGAGAAGCCCAGTGTGGGGGGCAGGAGGGGTGCAAGTGGCGCTGGGGCCTGGGGGAAGCCAGCAGCATGCGCTGCCTGCCCGGCTGCCTGCAGTGCGGGGAGACCTCCACCAACAGACCTGCTCACCGTCCCTAGCTTTGGGAATTTACACTTCTTTGGAAGGGATGGGGGTGGTTTATGCAACCAGAAGTAAGTTCAGCTTTATAAAAGGTCAGTGATGTGCAGAGCTGGCACCGGCGGGGGCCCTAGAGAAATGGGCTGGGGGAGGGGAGCCAGCCTACTTCTCAAGAATACATCAAGCCCTTGAGGAAGCAGAGTGTGCCATGTTTGAAGATGCAAAGATAATCACAGTGCTGGGAACCGTCTTGTGTAGCGGAGGAAGCCAAACAACAAGAGGAAAGCAGCATATGCTCCTGATTTCGCACAGGAAGCTAGCAGCACCTCCTGCCAAAGTGAGATAAGAAAACTCCCATGGCCTATTCTGGACAAGGCCGTGGTTATCAACCTTAGCTTCACACTGTCCTCACTCTGCTCCACAGCCCGCTCCCTTTCCTAATGAGATTCAGAGCCCTCACCTCTATTAGCATACAGCATGCCAAGCACAATAGTGTGGTATATTTATAACTATCAACGGGGAAAAGTTTCCAGGGTAAGAGTGTACTTCATGTCATCTTGATGTATTTCACTGAAATCAAACTACAAACCAGCTCCAAGCTGAGGTCCTGACTATGAAACTACTGGTCTCAAAGAAAAATGGTTTTGTTGTCACCCTAGTGATTTATAGCGGAGTGTAGGAGCTGAGGTAAAGGATTTGTCTAATTATTCACAGGAAGGATTTGACCCTCTGTGTTGTGACAGACAGTCCTAAATGAAAGCTCTAGACCCAGCTTGTGTCCAGGCACATTTTCTTCCCCATCCTGGAAACAGTTCTGCAATTTGGGTTCAAGTAGCACAGTGACAAATACCAGCAGCAGAACATCGATCCCCATATCAGTTGGGAAAATACTCATCTTCTGTCTCCTCACCTACTCAGCTCCTCATTCCCAAACCCTCCTGTGTGATGCCAGAGACCAGTGCAATCTTTCCCTCCTGTAACATCCCATTCAATTCTCTAAACATTCCTCTTGGCAAAGCCACAGGCAGCCTCAATCACACTTTTGTTTACTGAGGTAGTGTTTGGTAATTGCACCAGTACTAGGAGAAAGAGGAAGCCATC